ATGCCCCACCCTGTGGAGCCGGCCATTTGCTCGTTATCAGTCACGGCCTATTTGGCAACAACTCGCACACGCAGTACCTTGCCGATGCGTTCAAGGCTGCATACCCGGACCTGCTTGACGTGGTGCGCTACGTCGGGATTGGGGTCGTGGTTGCGTAGAATGGAGGACGAGCAGCGGCTGAACAAGCTCATTTTGCCTCGTTTAGCTCAACGTCTCGTGCTACGCAAACGACCTCACCCTCGATGGCGTCGATACCTGCGCGGAGAGGCTGATCAAGGAGGTTCGTGCAAGCCATAAGTGCTGGTCGCTCTCGTTTGGAGCAATGTCAACTGACTTGCGACCGTCGTGCCGTCTGTTTCCCTGCCTCAAGCTCAACACTTACCGCGAAAACAACAAGGTCACGAGAATCTCGTTTCTCGGCTACTCGCTCGGCGGTCTCATTGTCCGGTTCGCAATTGGTCGATTGCACATGGAAAACTTCTTCGACACGGTTGAGCCCATGGTCTGCCTCCTCTCTCTCGTGACCAACTTGCCGCATTCCTCGAGCACTGTCGCTGACCCCGTCGTTCCTCTCCACCAGAACTTCGTGACCATGGCAACGCCGCACCTCGGTGTGAGCACGCCACGACTGCGCCGACTCGCCGACATTCTCGTATGCCGATCCGCACAACAGTGCGTCATGAAGGACCGGGATTACGACGCACCGCTACTGTGGGTCCTTGCCGACCCGCAACTACCGTTCTTGCAGGGTCTGGCGCGGTTCAAACAGCACTTGATTGTTGCCAATACGGTGCGCGCCGCGTTTGCCGCCCCCTTCAACCCATGACGCTCTTTTGGGGGCCACGACTGACCTTCCCCACCTCCTCGCACCCGCTCCAGACCGGCGACCGCACTGTACCCTACCTGACCGCCTCGATTCAACTCGAATCGCCCTACACGACGAGCCCCTCGGAACCCGTCCTTTCCGACACGTCCGTGATCATTCGCCCCGTCTTACGCGACGATCACGAAAAAGCCATCCCGCTGCCCGAAAAATCTATGACGCGCGAGGACATGGCGCGCATGGCTGTCTTTTTCGGCCTCATCATGCCGCTCATCTTTGTCGTCTGGACGGTCATGTCCCCCTGGGCCTTTTACACGACCAAGAAAGCGCGCACGCGATTCGCCACCGTTGAGGACCAAGTGCTCCGCGATATCGAGGTCCTGCGCGGCCAGGTGTCGCGCAAGGGCTTGACGGAAGAGGAGTATGTGGCGGCCATGGTGGAGAGTTTGAACGCGGCGTTGCCGGACATGACGCGGATCGATGTGGATTTGGGCGAGTGGGTGCACACGCACGCGCATGTGGTCGTGCGGAATCCGAAGATGCATGCGAGTGGGAAGCCGGTGGTCGACTATGTCGTGAGCCAGTTCTGCGCGGCGTGAGGTGGGGAATGTGACGAGGGTACGTGCGTAAGCCGTCGACGTGGTCGTGATTCCATAGATGCCCGATTATCTTTTTGCGATTTGATGGTGTCGGTTTGCCGATCCGAGGTTCGCGGCGCTTGACGAGTAGTTCAGCTCGGAATTGCTGATCGAAGAGAGAAGGGAAAGCGAACAGACAAGACTCGCACGCGATCACGCGGGGCGACTTTTGCCTCTTCACTTCTACATATCGTCGTGCACGATCTGCATAACAGCACGCTGACCTCAAATAAGCACCCGACTTCCAGCAACTGCCCGCAATCTGCAGCACGGCACCCTTCCAGCCCAGTGATCCGCGTCATTGGCCGATTCCAGCACCCTGCAAGCCATTATGCCCGTCCAAGCCGGCCCAACAGGCGCCGTGTCCGAAGACACGCGGCAGCGCCAAGTCGTTGAGGACCTGACCGCAGCGATCAAGCGGCTCGCCATGTTCCTGAATGCATTCGGTACAACCACGATCTCGTGTGGAAAGGGCGCCGTCAACCACAGTTCAACAATGACGACGCGGTAAATAGAACACACAGCATCGAGCAAGCTCGCGCACGTCGACGCGCGGCTCGCCAAGCTCGAGCGGCAAGCACTGTTCCTCGAGCAGCGCGTACGTGGCCCCTACCTCGCCGCCGTTCTCCTGCCGTCGCGATCCTCACCTCCAAGCCGTGCCTGTGTAGTGGAATATCGTTCTGGCCGACGACAGATCGGCCCTGCTCGTCGATGACGGCGTCAATACACACGGGAGCCCGTCCACCGACAACTTGCTCCTCGCCGTCCCCACGCTCTCCCCGCACGCGCCCGCCGCTATCCGCATTGCAACCCCCGTGGAAACCGTCGCCGGGACCCCCGACCGGCCCGCTGTCACCGTGCTCGACGATGACGACGACGACCAAGACGCTCCCGCGGCACCGTCTCCGCCTCCTCCACCGCCACCCGCGCTCGCTGCCGCGTTCCAACCGCCGCCACCGCCGATGGCAGCTATGCCGGCCGGTGCTGACGGGTGGGGAGCGCTCCCGCCGCCGCCACCCCCTCCACCTGTGATGATGGATGGGGGTGTGTGGGGCGCGGATTTGCCCCCACCGCCTCCGCTTCCGCCAGGCCTTGATATGGGGCTTCCGCCGCCCCCACCGCCGCCGCCGATGATGATGATGGATGCGTGGGGTGGTGGTGCGCCGTTGCCACCTCCACCGCCTCCCCCGCCGTCGTTCTGAGTCGCGTGTTGTGGGTGGAGTGGTTGGAGGGAAGGGAGAGGAGTGACTTGAGTTTCGCGATGGTCAACTTGATGCGGGTGACGGGATCAGGCTGCGTTATGGCAGAAATGAACGCACGTATGAATGTTATCGCTGCTCAACTACTCAACCAGAAATCGACGGCCTCCCACGTCAGTCAAATCCAAGCCAGCTCGTTGCCATGCTCTTCCGCCAACTGACTTGGTCAAACGGTATAAAGACTGGGTGCCCACGAGCTCTCAGACTCAACCATTTCCTGGCCCATGCTCGCCCCGTGCCCATATCCGGCAGATCAGTTATGACCACCACCACCCTCGCGGCGCCCGCGCGAGCATTCTGACCAATTTACCCGTCGAGCCCCTGGACCACATCACGGCGTTTCTCACACCCGACCACGACTAAAGTCTCTTCGCGCTCGCTCACAGTCGCCGCCTTAGCCAAATCGCGCTGTGTACACTGTTCGCCGATTTTCTGGAGACGCGGATCGTAGGCGGGCGCCAGTTCAAGCACATGATAACTTTCCCTTGTGAGAAGCGGGAACCCGCGCTGTACTTGGTTATCCCCGACCAGGCACTGTCAGATGACGCGCTCGCTGATATTCGAGCAGTCTCTGTTGAGAGAGAGTATGTGGCGACGCTTCGGGTACCCTTGTCGTGGCTACATTCAACGACAATTGTTACATCCGGCGGCGAAAACGAGGAAGAGGAAATAAGCGACGAATCTGAAGTTGAATCTGGCTCTGAGTCCATCTGAAGCTTAAAATGCAGAAGAATCATCGGAGAACGAAGACAGCGAGGAGGAATTATTCGAGGAGGAAGAAAATCACGAGGATTCAGGAGGAAGAGGATTGGATCAACGATGACTGGAGGGGCAAGGGCGTTTCCCTTGGCACAGCTATCTTTCCACTGGCCCTTCCTCCGTTCTTGGCGTCGCTGACTCAGATCACGATCAGCTGGGATGTCAAGGACACGAAAATGCGGGCTCTTCTTGAGCACGTCTCTACGACTGTTCGTGTCTCGATTTAAGTCGCCTCCCACCCTGGATTGGCGCCCTGACCTTCCCCCGGCTGTGCCAACTTGAAGTGGATGTACTAGGTCAGAAACCCACGCTGTCGTCTCTTCCCAACGCGCCAGCACTCCGCTCATTGGCACTCGAAGATATTGTTGCCCTGGATTCTGTTGGCGCCCAACGGTACCAGGACGAGTATCTTGCTCGCATCGAATCGCTGCAAGTAATCCCGGATCAACGCGAACCATGGCGCTTTGTGCAAGTACGCGATGGTGCTTGCTGGGTCATTCGCTCTCTGGATGGCATGAATACCGCTCATGCACCAGCACCAACCAGTCAGTTGCGCCATAATTGTGCACCGATCGAATGGATTCACAAATGGGTCCCCACCGCGCACTTGATGCAAGTCCAACACTTGAACGCCTTCAACCATGAATCGTTTGTGAGTAGTCACGCTACTTTGCTGCCATGGGCCATCATGACGAATTTGATCCAGCTCATGGTGACGGATGTCGGGCTTTCCTTGGCTGATGTTGTTGCGCTGGCATGCTTGCCAGCGCTGGAGGACCTGAGAGCGTGGAAGAAGGACGACACTCAAGATAGGCGCTTGGAAAATGACACCTTCAGCCATGTATTCAATGCCGCACCACGTCATGCTCATGCACACGCGAGGTCCAGATTTGCAGCCGGACTCTTGAAAAGAATGGGTTATTGTTGTCAACAACACGGGCTGGCCTGTGCCAAGGCACTTCGTGACCTTGATTTGGTTGATGCGGTCTTCCCAAGGCTTTGCACCGTTTTCGCATCATCCACGTTCTTCATGCTACTTGCTCATCGCATGTTCCCTGTGCTCACGGCGGCAAGGATTGGCCTTGGCGCTGACTGTGATGTGTTTCGATTCAATGGTCATGTGATGTCGTGGATGCTCTCTGTTCTGACTGTGCCAGAGTTGGCATCTCTTGATATTCCAATCGTTGCTGAATTTCAGCAGTACAAGATGCAGCAGTTGAAATGGAGCACAATCCGTCGTGTTTTGTATGAAGTGACCATTACCAATGCAGGCCAATGGAACACCAAGATACCACAACTGACCAACTTCAAGTGTATGGCGCTCACCAAGTGGACGGGAACGCTCGTCTTGGATCGCCTAGAGCGTCTCGAGGCCCCCACCAATTTGTGGACACACATTAAGTGCCGTCTGAAAATGCCAGGGCTTTTCTTGGTGTTCATGGCTTGGAGTGAAGCAGTGAGCTGGGACATCAGTTAAGGTGTGGAACACCAAAGTTACACCCTCAGGCCAGAGTTTTCACTGGGGAGATGGCCGAGTGGTCTAAGGCATCACGACATGACTGTGAATCTCCGGAAACGTGGGTTCGAATCCCACTCTCCCGAGTTTTGTTGAAGTCGATTTTTTGCAAGTTGCTTGTTGCGGAAGGTATGCGGCGCAGCGCGTGGTGGAGAAGGGTCAGGGAGGGGCAATATTGTAGTGCACACACACCCCCAAACTCCACCCTGTCGGCCCGGCGCTGGGCAGGTGCTGGCAGCTGCGTGCACGCGCCGCACTAGGTTTGCTATGGCTGTGTTGGCGTGCGCCCAGGCGGACAGTCGCAGGTAGCGACGGTGGCGGCTGTGGTGGCAGTGATTTAAGGAAAAACGTCAGTTGCCACAACTGACCAACTTCAAGTGTATGGCGCTCGCCAAGTGGACGGGAACGCTCGTCTTGGATCGCCTAGAACGTCTCGAGGCCCCCGTCAATTTGTGGACACACATTAAGTGCTGTCTGAAAATGCCAGGGCTTTTCTTGGTGTTCATGGCTTGGAGTGAAGCAGTGAGCTGGGGAGAACCGGACAATTAACAGTGGTCAGCCAGCTCGAAACGCTGATCACTGTGCTGCAAGAGCGCCATGATAATATATTTCTGCTGGCGCACACCGCAACATCAACCACGACAGTGCACCAACTCGCTGCAATCTTCCGGCCCACGCTCAACGACCGCGACCATGACCTTCTTCACCGTCAAGTACGGCGACAATGACGAGCGTCTCTTCAACAGCAACTGCCTTAACACGGTCCTGCTCGGCCACATCAAGGCCGCGCTCAAGCTGACGTTCCCGGAACCCGTCGACCTCGCGCTCGACTCGGGGGACGTGCTCGACCTCGCCAGCAAGCCGCGCGAGTACGCGAAAAAGTATATCGAGCCGCGCGCCGTATGCACGCTGCTCAAGGTTGTGCAAGGTGGGGGTGCACGCTACCCTTGGCACTTCGCGTGATGGATCTGCTGACGGCGTATCGCGTCGAGTGGTAGACGAAGACGACGGCAGCACGGCCTACGTGCCGCTCCTCGATAACGCGGCCACAGACCGGTTCCGTGTCGCTGGGGGTTTGTCGAGCATTCTTCGCCCACACATCGCTCGTTGGGACCGCGTCGCCCGTGCTCACGGACCGAATCTGCCACCACCCGCACAGGCGCACGCCGCAACACCACCACGACCAAACCGCGCACCCTCCCCGCGCACTCCTCCACCGCCGCCGCAAGCACGATTGCAGACGCCGACAGCACGGGTTCTGCTGAAGGCCCTGCCGCGGCTAGTAAGCGCACGGCACGCGGCGGAGGCACGGTCACGATCCAGGCGCCGAATGGGAGCGGGTCTGATCCGCACGGACTGCATGCAAGTATAGGCAGTGCCAAGGGCTCGAGTAGCTCGCCGACACGGGCAGCGGCAGCGGCACCGACGACTCCACCGGCTGCGGCGCCGCAGGCGGGGGCGGGGCGGCGCAAGTCAACGGTGACGGGAAAGTAGGGGAGCATGGACTGTGGAATGGGCGGCGGTGTCGAGACGCGACAAAGGTGACGGTCTCGTGCTGCATGCGACGTGACAACAATCAATGCGGTTTGGCTGAAACAGCGTGGAGAATGCGTTGCTTGGATTGGGTCAGGAACTCTACACACTGTGTCGCACGCCGGCAGAACTGACACCTCCTCAGGAGAGTTGCTGCTGCAAGTCGTTGAAACAGCTGAAGGCCCGAACCAACCATACCCTTGAAGTGATGGAGTTTTTCCGCGAGATAATCAACGTTGATTGAATGAAAACGGCTTGGTAAATCTCAGTGCAGGCATTGCTCCGCCATGTTGCTCTTGTCCTTCTCGTTCACTCGATCGTCACGTCGAGGTTGTTGAATGCAAACAACTTCTTTGTATATATTCGCAAATGCTGATGATCCAATGTGATTCCAATGATGCCTCGATTCCATCGCCAGCGAGTCGAGTGGGTGGTCGAGACCAAACGGCAGTTGCGCGCGGAACGGGTCGAGCAAACCGTGCAAGTCGGCATCGGCGCGCATGCCGGTCGGGTCGAGGTTGTCGCGGGGCGTGCCCTTGAGCAAGTAGCTTTCTAGCGCGTCGCTGGTGCCAGTTACCTGTTGCGTCCGAGCGAGAGTAGGGGCAGTGAGGAGGACCCGCAACTTTGTTCACAAAGCCCCACTGCGACCGCAGACTGGAGACCCAACTCCGTCACGGGCGCGCCGTCGAGCTCAATCTTGCCCGTCTGTTACGGCAACATGCGCTTAAGGGCTCCGACCAGACTCGATTTCCATCGCGGGCGCTCAAAACCAGTCATCGTGAGCAGACGTGGTCGCTCACAAAGCGAAGATACGCACCCCACTCCCCGTCCGTCCCATAACGGCAACACGCGCGCCAGCCAGCACCGTCAACACGCCCTTGAGCACCCACTCCACGTCCCCACCCTTCCTTGCTTTGATTGCTCTCGTCCTTTGCCCCCCACCCCCTCCTTTACCCTTTGTCGCGCAACGCCCAAACGTTCTCGTTTAGGGCTCAAGCTTCTGGTGATCTTGGCGCGGTCAAACAAGCGGTGAAGGCTGCTTCAATCTGCTGGACCAAATCTCGTGCACCTCAAGCAAAAGCATGAAGCAAAAGCCGGCTATCGCTTGATAAAATATCTAGTCTCACCACTGTCGCAAGTCTCCACCCAATCCCATCCAGTCCCTTCCCCTTCGCTCACATCGCCTCATTCGTCAACACCAGCACCATATCCTCCCCCCTGACCACCATCTTCGGCCGCGGATTGATAATCGTCATGCACAGCGGCCCCTTCTCGGCCGCCACCTTCCGATACAACCCGAGCGGGACCATGCTTTGGTGCGCCAAGTGCGAGTACAAATCGCGGTAGGTCCGGCCCATCAGCCGGGAGGGTACGGGTAACGAGTGCACGCACGTGTGCTGCGCCGGCAACGACCCATGCGCGCGCAGCTTTTCGACAAGCGATTTACGGCCCGTGAAAATGAGCCGCTTGATCACGGAGAGAACGTGGCCCGAGTAGTAGGTTTGCGCAAGCAGGCCGTCGAGGAGCGACGCGGAAAAGACGTGGCCCGCCATGAACGAAGGGCGGAGAATGCATTGCGCTACGGAATCAATGAGCTTCAGTTCGTGAGCCCACGGTGAGCGAGCAGAAAGAGACACGAGAACGAACCCGACGGATCCTGCACGCCGTGCAACACCTCGGTCTGCCCAATAAACTTGAAATTCTCCTTGTGCAGCTGCACGACGACAAACGGCCGGCGCAATTCCGCGCTCTCGGCATTCAAAGCGCACAAGATCGACCCGGCATCCGCACTCCGCGGATCCGACCCGGGCTTCGTCCCCGCCGACGACAGAATCACCAGTTTCCGCGCCCGATCAATCCCCGCCCTAAGCAAATCCTGCCGTCTCAGCGGATTGCCGTGCACGTGAAACACGTCCGTGAACCGGTTCAGCGCCGGCGACGCGTCCGCGAGCGACAGGATCACGACGGGCACCGGGTCAGCAATCAACGGGTCGCGTAACGGGTGCAGGAACAAGTCGAGCAAAGCGCCGACGGACGCGTCCGGGTTCGTGTCGCAGAGAATAATATGGTCTTCGATGTTCGGGTCGAGCGCGGACAGGTCGAAATTGGACGTGTCGTCAACAACGACGCGGTCACCCGCCGTGTGCAACAGCGCGCCAGTCCCGAGCCCCTCCATCCGGCGCGGACGGTCAAAGTCAGTGTTGAGGTCGGTGTCGTCGGTCGCATCGAGCCCGTCGCACTCGGACCAGGTCCGTGGGCCGAGACTGATTTGCGACGAGGTCAAGAGCTTCATGCGCGCCATGTTGCTCACGCTCGTGTGCGGTGTCGGGTCGACGTCCTGCACGTCGACGGTCACGCGCGGCGCGACCAAGTCGTCGTTCTTGTCGTCGTCACCCGGCGCGAGTTTCTTGAGCAGCAGCTTCTCCTCCTCCTCGGCCTCCTCCTCGGCCTCCTCCTCGTCCTCGTCATCGTCGCTCTCCGAATCGCTCGCGTCGTTCTCCTTGGTCTCGCCCGTAAACTTCATAATGTCATCCACGACCTCGGACTCGGACGCGATCAGAAACCCAATCTCGCACCCGGTCAGCACGTACTCGGCCGGGTTCAGTACGATATGGAACTGCTGCGACGTCGGCAAATCCTCGCGCGTCGCGTTGGCCCCAAGCCCAATCAAACACGCACCGAACCGGCCAAACAGGACGCGCGAGACGTCCTTGAACGCCATCCCCACCAGCGCGCGCGGGAAGTGGCACGCGTACATTTCCTGGCTGTGAGACGGGAAATGGGTCAGTCCCGGGACCGAAAACGGCCAACAGAAAGCGGGCGAACGTACCTGGCCCCACGAATATACGGCTTGACCCACTTCAACTCTTGCTTTTCCGCCAACTGCACGAGCACCCGCCGCGACTCGTCCGTCATCGATGACGACAACAGCGCAATCAGCGTCGGGAACCCGGGCACGCGCACGGCCTGCGCAAGAATCCCCATGGACAACTCCTCGATGCACAAAATCTGGTCGGAGAGGTAGTAAAACTGCGCCTGGTTCTCGGGCAACATCGACTCGACAAAGACGCGCAGGGCCGGATGATACTTCTTAATCGCGAGCGCACGCATCACGGTCTCAGCGTCCTCGGCCATCGCCGCGGACGAGTCCTTGGCGGTCAAGACGAACACGGCTTTCGCGGACCGCGCGGCCGCTCGGTCGAGGGACCGGAACGAGGTCGGCGTACCGAGGACGTACGTGACGCGGGACGTGTAGGCCGGGTCGTGCAGTACGGCAACGAGTTCCTCGGAGGGCTCGTTCGGGTTGAGCATGACGACGCGCGTAGTCACGGTGGACGGGCCGTGGTCCGGGCAGAAAAATTCGCGCAGGAATTCGAGAATCGAGTGGCCGTCGAATGTGCCGGTCACGAGCACATGCGATTGGCTGGCCGTCGACAGGTGCGGCTTGTTGAACTTGGACCGACTGCGCACCATAGTGAGCAGTTCCGACAGGTTGGTCGGGATGTAGAAGGCACCTAGGATTCGTAGCGCGCGTGGTCAGTTGGTTGAGCAA